ATYCWTYCATCCATCCATTCATTCAAATCTTTATATTTTATGTTATGGTACGGGTTATTGCGGAGTCTCCCCTAACCTTCTCCAGTGGCTAATGTTTAAGTATACGACACACACTACACTCACTACCACTACGATTAATGTCTTAAGCCAAGACTCTCAACTCACATTGATTTTTACGGAGAGAGGAAAAGCAGAGAACCTGGAGAAAAACCCTCGTGGTAAGAGTAAGAAAAAACACATCAAACAAACTCGACCCACATTTTGATTTTTATGGAGGGAGGAAAASCAGAGAACCTGGAGAAAAACCCTCGTGATAAGAGAGAAAACAACACATCAAACAAACTCAACTCACATTAAGTTGTCAATCTTACCAGAATCTGGTAGAAGCATCTCTCTCTGAATGATATCGTCATCATCATTGTCATCATCATCGTTTTCATCATCATCTTCCTTGTCTTCTTCTTCTTCGTCTTCATCGCTCTCTTCCTCAATGCCAAACTTTGACTCCAGCTCCTCAACTTTCTTCATGGTTTCAGCGTAGTCCTTCATATGATCATATTTTCTCTGAGTATCTGCCAAATATCTGTAAACACGAACCTAAATAAAGAGGGAAAGACTTAAAAGTATGCATACGTCATCTTATAATTTAAAATTTATAAAGATAGTTTAACTTATAAAGATAATTTTACGAAAACGTTTTTCAAATTTTACGAGTGATTGTAACATTGCGCTATAGTCCGCACTGCTCTTAGCCAATTAGAATACAGGACTGTTGATATCTTTTATAAGCCAATCAATATTAAATCTAATACCCCATTCACACCTAAACGTGTTTAGTTAAACTATGTTTTCACTAGGAAAAAATTGATAAACTAGAAACCTACAATATAATGAAACTTTCTAAAATATTGTCACAGCAAGACAAAGGATAGTTTACATGCATTATTTCACCAAATATTGTGCAGTGTTCGTAGATAGTTTTTCAAACCTGTTTAGTTAAACCACTTTAAAACATGTTTAAGCCTTGGTGTGAAGGGGGTATAATATTTTTTATCTCCACTGCTCTCAACCAATTAAAATCTAAGACTTTTTTATATATGCACTGCTCTCAGCCAATCAAAAACCAGATTTTTCATATCCCCACTGCTCTCAACCAATCACAATCTAAGATTTTTTATATATGCACTGCTCTTAGCCAATCAAAAAAGAGGTTTTTTATATCTCCACTACTCTCAACCAATCACAATCTAAGATTTTTTATATATGCACTGCTCTTAGCCAATAAAAAAACAGGTTTTTTATATCTCCACTGCTCTCAACCAATCACAGTCTAAGATGTTTTATATATCCACTCCTCTCAACCAGTCAAAATCTAAGATTTTTAATATACGCACTGCTCTTAGCCAATCAAAATCCAAGTTTCTTATATCTTCACTGCTCTCAGCCAATRACAATACAATATTTTTGATACTGTTCTCAGCCAATCACAATCCAGGATTGTTGCTAACTCCACTGCTCTCGGCCAATCATGACATAGCTAACTCAAATTGAAATACTCTAGTTTCGAGTTCTCTTTGCTCAGTCTTAGTCTCGCTTGTGCGTTATAACAGTCTGCTATTCCGTGGCATTCTAATGAACTCCTATTGTTCTATAGTACGTACATACAATGGACCTTAATAAAAGAAAAGAATACATTTGTGCACCATGCATCACTAGCGTACGGAGGTTGGGGGCAAGTGCCTATGCCCGCCCGCCCCCCCCCCCTCCCCTTAAGATTTTATTCATATATACGAGATTCCTGTGGATTTGGCGTGAAAATGGTACATTGCCCCTATGATCGAGACCTTGATACGTCCCTACCATGCATTCGAAGCTAAGGCTGAGTGAAGGCGAACTAGAGCGTGTATTAGAGACCTTTACCACGACGCTAGCCCCGCAAACCTCATACTGCAGTTCGACGTCATACGTTTTCCGCCAAACTTCAATTCGACATTTAGCAAGTCTTCATAACGAAGTTGTTGCTGGAAGAGTAGCCATATCGAATACCATTGATGCTGAGCGTTTCTCCGTGTTTACGGCCGTGTTTCTGGGCCTGATTCCTAGCGGTTAGCGATAACACGATGCTAAAGGTCTCTATTATCTTTCCATCCTTACTTCCAAATGAATCTTGACAACACATACCTGTATTGGCAGTTTGTTGGCTTGTTCAGCATATTTGAGTGCAGTCAAGTAAGCTCTTTCTATCTCTTCGTAGCTTTCACCAGAATTCTCATAGACTTGAGCAACATTGCACCACGTATCACACATCTATGAAAATAATATTTATTTATTTATTTGTAGTATTAGAATCACAACCAGCATCATCATCAACCTTATAATTATCCATCATCACCACCACCATCATCACCACCACCATCATCGTCATCATCACCATCATCACCACCACCATCACCATCATTATCATCAGCACCATTATCATCATCACCATCATCACCACCACCATCATCGTCATCATCACCATCATCACCATCACCATCATCACCACCACCATAACCATCATCATCACTATCATCACCACCACCATCATCGTCATCATCATCATCCCCATCATCATCATCATCATACCATCACCATCATCATCACCACCACCATCATCATCACCATTATCATCACCATCACCACCACCACCATCATCATCA